AATGAACGGCTGTTAATATTTTTCAAGAATTGAAATAAAATTTATATCACATAATAAATCTCAGTTTGGGAAAAATAAGAAATAAGGAATTAATACGACAATAGACAATTCTTGTATTTGCACGAATAACGCTTTGAGACTTATCGTGTAGATTCAAACACGCGTAAGATATAATCGCGAGTAATTACAGCAAAGTTGTGGGAATGGTTCGCGCTTACTCGACAGCTGCTGCGCTAATCTAAATTCTCATAAACTTTAATCGCGGAAAACAAGAGCCGTGAAGCGTAGTAATGGAGAGATGCGAGCGATTCGCGATCCGCGATGATTTCCGTGGCGGCTGTGCGAAAATGTCATAAAATTATTTCATCGAGATTCGACGATTATCGAAACGATTTCGTTATTCGGACACGCAATATCGCACGCGTGGCATTCTTTATATTATTTCTCATCCCTTTGCACCCTATCTACACGACAGATTCAATATCCTTCTCCGTGAGGAATTTCCATTGTGTTCGCATGCGAAACTTTTGCCCGGTATTCGGATTGGAATTGTGGCACGATTTTTATCGAAATTTAATAAATGCTCTAATCCTGAATATCATTCACGGAAAACTTCAATATCCCTCTGAAATCCTTTCGATTATACTATTACTTTTCGTTTCAAAGAACATACAATTTCACCATTTACCTTATCTCTTTTATTAAATTTACATTATTACATTTCTATTTCTTAATATAATATTACTTAGAAATGTCCATAAAATAATAATTCCTTGGTAAATTATTCTTAGAGAAAAACAGAGAAAGAGAGAGAGAGAAAGGGAAGTAAAAGAGAATAATTTAATGATTGATTCTTTAACTACGATTATAAATAGATATATTTATAAATACTTCAATATAGTTATTTATTAGAAATTTCTTAAAATTTCTTAAAATTTAAAACGAATCTATTTATTATTTAACGCAACAATCGTTGTACTTCACACAAAAGTACTTCGCACAAAGTACTTGGTATTTGATAATTGGAAATAGTAGATTGTCAGAAGTCCCATGAGCTTTAACCCAATCGGGTTTTGACCCAATCGACAGATTCTCGTTTAAATTTTCATCGTCAGCAAAGTACATTCTGGGTCGTTTCAATTATGCGTCCGAATCGAATGCTACGGTGTGCGATACCGTGGGATCCTTTTCAGAGAGCTAATGGATTGTCAAGAATAGAAACTTCACGTGGTTTTGCGATCGTTGGCTCGGTATGGCCGATCGAATGTTTTCAATTCTATTTTCCGCGAACCGCGTTTCACCCTCTCTGTCGGGGCTGAAATAGTTTCAGAGATAGATATCACTGAAAACAACGTGCCATTTTCACATGATAACTTTTTAATCTGTGATGTATATATGGTGTGTATATATGGCGTGGTGTATATTGTGCGAAATATCGTTACGGTTTTCCAACACGATGTTGTATCATTATTATTATCAAAACAAACAACATCGTTGTTATATAAAAGATCATTAATTATAACGAGATATAACTTAATACCCTATGTTATATTTTAACTGAAAATTTCATCAAATGTATTAAAATTATATACACAAAGATACTAAGTGATCAATCTTTTAATTTATATTGTTCTAGTTTCGATTTTCAAGATTGGCTCGCACTATAAATGCAAATAAGCACAAGAAAAATTATTGCGACCGTTAATCCTACGGCCAGTATCGAGTGCCAACCGAGTTCATTGTCTCGATTTTCATCGAACTCATTCACCTACTAGAAGCGATCCTTACTCGGAGGCGCTTGAGCGATCACAAAGGGTGCTATAAAGTAATTTACTTTCCCGATAGAAAAATAAAGAGGTAGCATGAGAGAAAGAGAGAGAGAGAGAGAGAGAGAGAGAGAGAGAGAGAGAGAGAGAGAGAGAGAGAGGAGGAGGAGGAGGAGAGTAGTACG